TTGGTCTCCTCTACACCCTTATCTCCAACAAGCCTGAACCATCCTTCCACTAATCCTTCCATCTCAGAGAGCAGTTAGTATCCCCAGCTGGCCCCCTCTCACAACTCATTACAATTGGTATACTCAGTACAATTGGTATACTCAGTACAATTGGTATACTCAGTACAATTGGTATACTTGGTACAATCAGTATACTCAGTACGAGCAGTATACTTGGCACAAGCAGTATACTTGGCCCAGTCAGTATACTCAGTACCAAGCAATCTGAGCAACCCTCTGCTCCTTGTATATAGCAAGTAGACACGCTGCCCTTATGGCATTGTATTCAACCTCATCAATCAACTTTGTTATTGGAATCTCACTTGCTCTTGAGCCAGACAGTATACTCTGTACTACTCATTGCAACCAGTTGCCACGGTCTTTGACTAGATGACTACCTGACTATTACAAAGGTTATTACAACCCGCCCAGATGGTCTACCCCTGACCACCCAAGCCTTGGTTAGGTGACTGTCAACCCTTACAGCTCTCTGTACCTCTGCTCATCCCCAAGAACCAATTGAATAGTGCCTACGAGCTTTGCTTAAGGCACAAATTGTAACAGATGCCACATCCTTGTGCCAACCTTGGTCCTGCTGATGGAGTTCAAAGTGGCCTTGATGCCCTGCATGGTGTGGAAGAGGAGAAGGAGAGTCAGCTGTACCATGCGAAGACTGCCCTACAAGATTTTCTGGTTAGTGTTTGGCCACTTGCAGCTCAAGAGCAGGTGCTCAGGAGTCTGCTTGGCTCTATAACTGCAGAATGGGTGGTCAGTCTTGCTAATCCTGATTAGGTAGGCCTTATTGTATCATGGCCAAGCTTCAGCTGATAGAAGGCACTGGCAGTCTCCCTCCTGGTCCCAGGGGGAATCCTCAGTCTCTTGCCAATCCTCCAGCTGTACTGGGCAGCATAGGCAGAAGGATTGCAGATGATAGCATCAATGCTGTAGCTCTTCAAGGCCTTGTCCCATTTCAAGGTTGCCATGCTCTTGATCTTGATGCCAGTCATGGCCAGACTGGTGATGTGAGTGGAGGGTCTCTTCTTGGCTGCCTGCTTGGCCAACCTGTCAGCTCTCTCATTGCCAGCCACATCCTGGTGTCCAGGTACCCAGTGGATAGATACAGTGGCCCCCTTGCTGACAATCTGGTGCGCTGCCTGGATGCATCTGAGCTGCCATGCCTGGCCAGGCTTGTTAGAGGGAGTCTGCAATCTGTAGATGGCGGCCTGGTTGTCTGCTGTAACGGGGTTACAGAGCTGTAGTGAAGTGGGCTGTCACATGTCAGGACAATGGCGCTAACCCATTGGGATGCTAGCATGGTATGGGCAAGTGCGCATAGATAATTGGGCATACAATGGCCAGGAAACAGTAGCAATTAATCTTACAAGACTCCCTCCCATTGCTACTGAGCTTGCTGTCACAGATACCCTTACAATTTTAATTGCTCTACCTATTCTATAGGGTGACAGCTCAGCTTGGAAGCTATGGAGAACAATGCGGACAAATTGGATGAGGTTTCTCAGCCTGCTGTAACGGGGTTATGGTGCTGTAGTGAAGTAGGCTGTCACGTGTCGGGACGATGGCGCTAACCCATCGGGACGCTAGCGTGGTACGGGCGAGAGC